GAAGTGCAGGTGAATCTCTGCCAGATTTGGAATGATTGTTTGTGGCCTCGAACGGAAGTTAGAGGGGAGATGTAGTGGCAGGTGTAACACATCCTGCAGTTGAAGGGAAAGGTATCGGATGTGGTGGAGGGGTTGGTGAGGAGTGTGGAGCTGACGAGGGAGTCACGGAGTAAACGATCCCTGCGAAAAGTGGACAGGGATGGCGGGGGTGGGGGAGCGGAATATAATTTTGATGGTGGGGTCTGTTTCACATTTCCACCACCTACAGAATTGAATTCAATGCATTGAATTCTGAGGTTGGTAGGGTGATATGTGAGGAGGAAGGGGACTCTATCCTTATTTTGTTTGGGGGGGGGGGGGGGGGGGAAGGGTGTGGGGGGAAGAGGGTGGGGGGGGGGGGGGGGGGGGGTGGTGAAAGGGTTTAAGGGCAGAAGCATGGGAAACGGGGGAGATGCAGTTGAGGGTATCCTTAAATGACAGAAGAGGGGAAACCATGGTCTGTTAAGTTGGAGGATATCTGGGAAGTCCTAGAGTAGAACGCCTCATCCTGGGAGTAGTTGCGGCAGAGGTTGAGGAATTGAGAGTATGGGATAGAATTGTTGCAGGAGGGTGGGGTGAGAGGAGTGCAGTTGAGGAAATTGTGGGAGACAGTAGGTTTGAAATGGACGTCAGTGTTGAGTCGGTTACTGTGCTCTGCACGCACCAATCAACCTGACCTTCTGGTTGCCATCCTCTTTACTCCCCCTCCCACTCCCCTAGTGATATGTCCATCCTTGGCTGCCTCCACTGGAGGAACAACACCAACAACACATATGGAGCTGACGAGGGAGTCGCGGAGCTGGCAGTCCCTGCGGAAAGTGGACGGGGTGCGCCATCAACCTCGTCAACACCTTCCACTGCACCCTCAAATTCACCTGGACCATTTCTGACACCTCCCTCTCCCTTCATGGACCTCTCTGCCTCCATCTCCGGTAACCAACTCACCACTGACATCTATTTCAAACCAACTGATTCCCACAATTACCCCAACTACACCTCTTCTCACCCCACCCTCCTGTAACAATTCTATCCCATACTCTCAATTTCTCGACCTCTGCTGCATCTACTCCCAGGATGAGGCGTTCTACTCTAGGGCTTCCCAGATATCCTCCAACTTTACAGACCGTGGTTTCCTCTCCTCTATCATTAAGGACACCCTCAATTGCATCTCCCCCGTTTCCCACGCTTCTGCCCTTAAACCCTCTCCTCCCAACAACAAGGATAGAGCCCCCTTCCTCCTCACAAATCACCCTACCAACCTCAGAATACAATGCATCATTCTCTGACATTTCCACCTCCACCACGACCACCCCCCCCCCCCCCCACACTCCTCCACACCATCCCCGCCCCGGCTCCCCAGTCCTGGTGAAGGTTTCCGCATGAAACATTGACTTTCCTGCTCCTCGGATGCTGTCTGACTGGCTGTGCTTTTCCAGCTCCACGTTTATTGATAAGAGATTGTGGGCCCCTTGCTGGAAGTCTGGAGGTTGGCTAATGTGGTGCAATTATTTAAGAAAGTGGTAAGAAAAAGCCATGGAGCTATAAACCGGTGAGCCTGATGTCAGTGGTGGGTAAATTGTTGGAGGGGATTCTGAGGGGCAGGATTTCCATGCATTTGGAAAGGCATGGACTGATTAGAGAGAGTCAACCTGGCTTTGTGCATAGAAAATATCTCACTAACTTGATTGAGTTTTTTGAATAAATGACAAAGAAGACTGATGAAGGCAGAGCAGCAGACATTGGCTATATGGACTTCAGCAAAGTTCTGCATGGTAGACTGGTTAGCAAGGTTAAATCACATGGAATTCAGGGGGAGCTAGCTGATTGGTTACAAAATTGGCTTGAAGGTAGGAGACAGAAGGTGGTGCTGGAGGGGCGTTTATTGGCCTGGAGGACTGTGACCAGAGGTGTGCCACAAAGATTGGTGCAGGGTCCACTGCTTTTAATGTATACTATTTGGATGTGAATATAGGAGGCATGGTTAATAAGTTTGCAGATGACACCAAAATTGGTGGTATAGTGGAAAGTGAAGAAGGTTACCTTGGAGTACAACAGGACCTTGATCAGATAGCCAATGGGCAAAGGAATGGAAAATGGAGTTTAACTTGGATAAATGTGAGGTGCTGCACTTTGGTAAGGCAAACCAAACCAGGACTTATACAGTTAATGAAAGGGCCCTGGTGAGTATTGCTGAACAAGGGGTCCTAGGGGTGCAGGTGCATAGTTTCTTAAAAGTGGAGTCACAGGTAGACAGGATGGTGAAGTCAATTTTGGCAGACTTGCTTTCACTGGTCAGTGCATTAAGTATAGGAGTTGGGATGTCATATTGTGGCTGTACAGGACATTGGTTAGGCCACTTTTAGCATACTGCATTCAATTCTGGTCACCCTACTATAGGAAACATGTTGTTAAACTTGAAAAGGTGCAGAAAAGATTTACAAGGATGCTGCTGGGAATGCAGGGTTTGAGCTACAGGCAGTGGCTGAATAGGCTGGAGCTTTTTTCCCCTCGAGCATTGAGGGCTAAAGGGTGAACTTATAGAGGCTTATAAGGTCACCAGGGGCATGGATAGGGTGAATAGCCAAGGCCTCTGTCCCAGGGTAGAGTTCAAGACTAGACGGCATAGGTTTAAGGTAAGAGGGAGAAGATTTAAAAGGGTCCTGAGGGGCAACTTTTTCACGCACAGGGTGCTGCATGTATGGAATGAGCTGCCAGAGGAAGTGGTGGAGGCAAGAACAATTACAACATTTAAAAGGCATCTGGATGTGTACATGAATAGGAAGTATTTAGAGGGATATGGGCCAAATGCTGGCAAATGGGACTAGAGCAGTTTAGGGTATCTGGTTATCATGGACAAGTTGCACCTAAGGGTTGTTTCCACGCTGTATAACTCTATGGCTTTGTGAAAGGAAAATCATATCTAAAAAATTTATTAGAGTTCATTGTGGAAGTACATGTGCTATAGATAACGGGGAACTCGTATATACACGACGGATCACAGAAGTATTTTGGCAAAGTGCGACAAAGGTTGTCATGGAAAATAAGAGCTCATGAGGTTAACACATTGGTATAGAAAGAAGATTGGCTGGCTAACAGGAAACAAAAGGTAGGCATAAATAAGTCTCTTACTGATTGGCAAGATCTAACAAGTGAAGAGCCACAGGGCTTAGTGCTGGGGCCTTAATATTCTACAATTTATATAATGATTTGGATGAAGGGTCTGAAGGTACGGCCGAGAGATGCAGAGGGATCTCATTAATGTTCCTACTAAGTTGTGCACAAGCGCAGCCACTCCAATCAGTTGCCATGCCGATCTCAGCAGTTCCAGAAATTGTTGCCGCACGAGCCTTGAATGTCCTTGCAGCCAATAAGCAAACTAGAGGGAACACTGAATCTTGGTGCTCTGGGGCATGAATCACAGAAGCTTATTATGCAGCTTCAGCAAGCAATTAGGATAGTTAACAGATTGAATAAATAATAACAAAGGAACTGAATAAAAGGAGGGAAGGGTTAAATTTCATTTTTACAGGGCATTAGTGAGACCCTATCTGAACTCACAATAGTGTTGGTCTCCTCACCTAAAGGAGGATATAAATGTGGTGGCAATAGTTCAGACAGCACTCACTAGACCTAGGGTTGGGTTGGCTTTGAGGAAAAGTTGGACAGGCTAGGCTTGTATCCATTGGAGTTGACATGAGTTAGAGGTGATTTGATTGAAGCTTAGAAGATCTTGAGTAGTCTTAACAAGGTGCAGGTGGAAAAGATATTTCCTCCTGTGGGAGAATCCAGAATGGTGGGGAAGGTAACGGCTTAATGGTATTATCGCTGGACTGTTAATCCAGAGGCCCAGATAACATTCTGGGGACCCGAGTTCAAATCCCGCCATGACAGATGGTGGAATTTGAATTCAATAAATATCTGGAATTAAGAATCTAACAATGACCGTGAACCCATTGTCGGGAAAAACCCATCTGATTCACTAAAGTCCTTTAAGGAAGGAAACTGCCATCCTTTCCTGTTCTGGCCTCCACGTGACTCCAGACCCACAGCAATGTGGTCGACTCTTAACTGCTCTCTGGGCAATTAGGGATGAGCAATAAATGCTGCCTAGCCTGTGACGCCTTCATCCCATGAATGAATTAAAAAAACCTAGGAATTATGTTTACAAATAAAGAACCACCCTTATAAGACAGAGATTAGGAGAATATTTTTCCCACATAGGGCCATATGTCCTTGGCAATGTTCTCTAAGGTTCTGTGCATGGCGATTGGCATCAGCATGCTGATTGTGGCGTTGTCTTCTGGTTCCAGAAGTTGCTACCGTGTACATGTCTCAGAGGTTCACGCAGTCAGAAAGAAAATTAGAGGGACCACTCGTCCTTGGAATGCTCATCCTCAAAAGGCAGTGAAATCAATCTTTAAATCTTTTTAAGGCAGTGGATTCTTCACATGCAAGGTGCTGAAAGGTCATCACAGTAGACGGGAACATGGAGCAACCAGGTCAGCCAAGATCTTACTGAATGGCAGAGCAGGCTTAAAGTGTCGAATGGCCTTCTCTTACTCCTAATATACATATTTGCATACAACACAAACATATGTATACATACAATGGTTACTGACACTCCTGTCAATGCAAACAATTTTTCCCTATACTGTCAACCCTTTCAATTTGAACATTTGAATTAAGTCTCACCTTAATCTTTCCTGCTGTCAGAAGAACCATCCCAGTTTCTCCAGTCTCTCCATATAACTGAAGTTCCTCAACTCTGGTATTATTCTAGCAAATCTACTCTACACTCCTCTCCAATTGGATAATCTTTGTTCCAAATTTGACTGTATGTAATATCATATATATTCAAAGTATGTCACAAAGTTTTAAATAATTATAAATAATTCTGAAGTATAGTCACTGTTGTACAGGTAAAATAACATATGTTGATTGTACAGTCTTTTACAACACACCTTTGAGGCTTCTAATTCTTTGACCTTTTCCTCGGCTGTTGACAACTTTTCTTTGAGAGCTGCTATCTCCTTCTCCATGGGCAGTACCACTGACCGCAACTTCTCAGCATCTTCCTGAGCCTGGTCATTGAAATAAATTTACAATTATTATGACTGTCTCTACTTTGAGAGCTAATAAATAAATGGCCAAGGATCCAAAATGCACTTCAGATCACCCACACAAAAGGTCCCACCCAAATGCCTAATTGGTTTGGAAATAATTTAATTGAAACAAAGTTTCTACCAAATTATTGCCTTGCACAACTAAGACTGAAATCTAGTGGTCATTTCCCACTCAACATTTCATGATCATTTCAAGATTACAGCTGAATATACTCACTTTCTTCATGTCATTTTCCAAGCTGTCCTCCTCTCGTCTTTCAGACAATTGCCTCCTTAGGTCAGCCAACTCACGTTCCATTACTTCCTTGTACTGCCCCCATTGAGTGCGTTCCTGCTCCAACCGCTGATGGAATTGAATCTCATACTCTCTCACTGTCTCTGCAACAGAGGTAGAACACAGCTCAAAAGGCAGCTCTTACAAACTTACCTAGTTTTACTCCTTGTTGAACAAGAAACACCAAGAAGCAGAATCAAATGGTTTCAGTCACATCAGTCATCTACGGAAGTTGTTAATATTTAATCTAGTGACAGAAAAGAACAGCCTATTATTATTGAAATAATTCAAACCATAGGTTATTGTCAGGAAGTCACAAGAGAGTGTGACCAAGAGTGGACTTGGGGTGGATGAGGTAAGGAAGGCCAGAGAGGACAAGTGATACTTGTAAAGCTGGGATTTGGTAGCCTATTTGGCCTCAAAGAGATTCAAGGTTAACTCATATAATGTTGCAGTTATAAAATCAAGACCAAAAGAGTTACCAGCATCATGAAAACCTTCTGGAAATATCAGTCAGGGTTCATTTCTTAGCAGTTGCCTAATTAGCAGGCCATTTCAGAAGGTGAATAAGAGTCAACTGCATTTCTGCGGATATGAAGTTTCAGAATAATATTCAGTCAAAGTTGTCACAAGTAATGGTGGAATGTAGGAGGCAATCAGCTCATACAGGTATGATAAAAGAGAGAATTGAAAACACTGGTGATCTGAGACAAACAAACAGAAATTGCTGCAGAAACTTAGCAGGTCTGGCAGCATTTGTGGACAGAAAACAAAACTAGCACTGGGTCCAGTGAGTTTTCTTCAGAAGTTCTGACGGAGGATCACTGGGTTCAAAACATTCACTCTGCTTTCTCTCCACAGATGCTGCCAGATCTGCTGAGTTTCTCCAGCAATTTCTGTTTTTGTTTGTTTCAGCCCAAATAGATCTCCGCCTCAGTGAGTAAGTTCAGAAGGAAAAGAAAACACAACCTGTACAGGAGAAAGGAATTTTATTCATTACCTTTCATTATAGCCTGCATTGAAGCAACTTCTTCCTGCCATTGCTTCTTTATGTCATTGATTGCTTCCTGTTTGGTGGTCTCAGAAACTGTAGCTACAGCTTTAATGTTCTCCATGTCAGCTGTTGCCTCCATGAGTTGGACTTGCAGCCGAGTAACATCACCTTCTGCTGACTGTAACGCAACATTCTGCCGCTTCAGCTCCTCTAAACAGACCAAGATGAATTTTCATTCTTGATATTAAAACCTCATGGATTAAAAAGCCGCCATAATGCTCAACAAGTTTGCAAGGACATATGAAAAAAAAACCTCAATCTAATTTGTGGGCAGCTAGAATTCTTCTATTGCATAGGCAGCACTTGGGTTCAATAGTAACTATGGTGATGTAATCATAGGAAGCTTAGCTTCCACGTAACCAGGTAACCCAATTGGAGCAATAACAACACTGGTGCAGATAAGTCCATATCAGATGTAAGCACACAATTCCAAAGCACTAACCATTATTCTTGATCAAAGTTAAGCATTGCACGAAGGCTATCAAGTTTAACAATAAAAGTTATTAGACATTAAATCTCAAACATTAAAAGGAAGACAAAGTATGGATAAACTTTATTACTGAGGCTTAAAAAAACTTGGAGATGATTTTTTTAAAAACTGACTGATAGACAAAAGAGTTGACGAGATCTGGCAGAACCAAAATTGAGCATCAGGCAGCAGGTTATTGTTGAGTAAATGCCACTTGATAGCATTTTCCAATATACTTTCCATCACTTTAGTGATAGTTGAGAGTAGACTAATGGAGCAGTAACTGGCCAAGCTGAATTGCTATGCTTATGTGTCCAGGATGTACCTGGCAAACTCTCCACATTGTCCAATAAATGCCAGTTGTGTGGCTGTACTGTAACAAGTCACTAGAGCTGTGGATAGTTCTGCCGTCAGTACTATAGCTGGAATGCTCTAAGGGCCCATAGCTTTTCCAGTAACTAGTATCTTCAGCTGTTTCTTCACATCATGTAGAGTGACTGAAATTTCCTGGAGGTTGGTATTGGCGATGCTGGTGACCTCAGAAGGAGCAGAAATTGATCATTCACTTGACACTTCTGACTTAAAATGCTTTGTCTTTTGCAATCATGTTCTTAGCCTCTCTATCATTGAGGATGGGGATATTTGTACAGCCCCTTGCTCCAGTGAGATGTTTTATTGGCCATCACCATTCATGGCCTGGATGCAGCAGAACTGCAGAGCTTAGATTTGATCCACTGGATGTGGGGTCACTTAGCACTGTCCATTGCATGTTGTTTGCACTGCTTGGCGTGCAAGTGCCAAGTGACAAATACAGTCAAGAACATATGCATCTGCTAGGAGTGGATTGTGAAGGAAGAGGTCAAAGGTGAGGGAGGTGGTGTTTAGATGGCAACTGCAGGATTCTGTGCCCATCTCTGACCTGATACCATGAGATTCCATGGGGTCTGGAGTCAATGGTGAAACCTCCCAAGGTAACCTCCTTCAGACTAGATACCAGATATTGTAGTGGTGGTGTCTGGGGCACTGTCTGTAAGGTATGATTCCATGAGAATGACTGTCAAGCTGTTGCACGACTAGTCTGTTGGACATCTCTCCCAATTTTGGCACAGTCCCCATTTGGCACCTTTGTAGGACCAACAGGGCTAGGTGTGACACTGTCTTTTGCCATTCCATTGTCAATCCATATGGTGCATCCTGTTTCATTCCTTTTACCAGACTTTACTGCAGTTAGATACAACTGAGTAGCTTGCTAGGCCATTTCAGTATTCATTTAAGAGTCAGTGACATTGCTGTGGATCTGGAGTCACATGTAGGCTAGGTAAAGATAGTTAATTGTCTTTCTGTAAAAGGCATTAGTGAAACAGATGAGTTTTTACAACAATCTAAAATAGTTGCATGGTACTGGGCTAACTTTTATTTCATATTTGTTAACCAAATACAAATTTCACTGTTTATTTAGGATGCAAGTCCATGTTTCTAGAACATTAGGCTGGGTTTCTGGAATACCGCTGTACCACAGTAGTACGTTCACATTGTCAAGTAGATGCCAGTGTTGTAATTGTACTAGGACTTGGCTAGTTCTGTTAAAATTTTGCCAAGCCCCATAACTCATGCCCTCAGCCATTTCTTGATAGTATGTGTAGTGAATCAAATCAGCTGGAGACTAGCAGCTGTGACGTCGGGACCTGAGGAGGAGGCCTACATTCATCCACTTGACACTTCTGTTGAAGACAGTTTCAAGTACTTCAGCCTTGTCCCTTACATTGGTGCCCTATGACCTCTCCATCATTGAAGGTGAGGATGTTTCTGGAGTCGCTTCCTCCTGTTAGTTGTTAATTGTACATCACCATCATAAACATGAAAATTAGGAGCAGATACAGTATACTCAGCTCCTTGAGCCTGCTCTGCCATTCAATAAGTTCTTGGTTGCCTGCCCCAATAACCTTTCACTCCCTATGAAGAAGCCTTACACAAACAATTAGACTGGTAAAACTGCATGCAGAAGGCGGCATGAGGGAGGCTCAGTGGTTAGCACTGCTGCCTCACAGTGCCAGGGACCTGGGTTCGATTACACCCTCAGGCGGCTCTGTGTGGAGTTTGCATATTCTCTCCGTGTCTGTGTGGGTCTCCTCCAAATGCACTGCTTTTCTCCCACAGTCCAAAGACGTGCAGGTTAGATGGACTGGTCACGCTAAAAGCCCATAGCATTCAGGATCGTGCAGGCTAGGTGGATTAGCCACGGGAGATGTAGGGTTACAGGGAGAGGGTAGGAGGTAGATCTGGATGGGATGCTCTTTGGAGAGTCAGTGTGGACTCAATGGGCCAAATGGCCTGCTTCAAAACTGTAGGCATTCTATGATTTATGCTGAGCTTTGCAAATAATCCTAAAAATACATTAAGTCGTAATTCTTCCCAGCACTTAGTACTATCTTAATGGCTATTTTCGGTTGTATATCAGTCACTGCCACTTGCTGAATTTCCAGCACAGTCCTGAGAGCAATTATTTATCTTTGAACGATTATCACTAAACAAGAATAACAGCTTGTAGGACTTTGCTGTATGCAAATTAGTTGTTTTCCCTATATTTTGGCAGTACCCATATTTCAAAGCGCTGATCAGGTGTTAAAATACTTTGGTCTATTCTGATGTTGTAAACGTGCCATACAGTTGAAAGCTTCTCCTTTTCTTTAAATGATCAATCAGTTCATCTTAGATTTGAGATAAATGTAACCTGGATGCAAAAAAGATAAGTGGTTTCAGGGTTGAGATGAGTAAAGCTCATCCCTGCAGATCAGTGAACTGTTGTGTGTGTGTGTGTGTGTGTGTGTGTGTGTGTGTGTGTGTGTGTGTGTGTGTGTGTGTGTGTGTGTGCGCACGCGCGCGCGCAGGGGAAGGTGACTGGTCTCCACTGCTTGCCAAATTTATTCCAATGAGGGCAGAGGTACATCCCTGTAACTTTCTCTTTAAGCATGTAATCATAAACTTATGCCAGTTATCAGACATTATCAAATTCAGGCCTCTCACTTTCCAGGAAAATGTGGAAAGAATTGGTTGCCAAGACAGGAGAAACAGCTAACTTTAGGATAAGCAGGCCTAGAGGGAATGAAAACAATATAGGGTAGAGTGGATAGAAGGGAAAAAACATTAAGAGGTGTTTAGATACGTTTTCCCACTTTTCATATGACTCTCAGATTATTTTCCAAGGGTTTTTACTTTTGCTCCTCCCTCCATTTAAGGAACATAAGTTTCAAAATAAGGGGTCACCCATTTAAGACAGAAATGAGGAGGAAATTCATCTTCAGAGGATGTTAGTCCTTGGATTTCTCTTCCCCAGTGAACAATTGCGATTAGATCATTTAATATATTCAAGGTGGAGTTAGGTAGATTTTGGACTGACAAGGAAATGCAGGATTATGAGGGCATAAGGAGAGTGGAGGTAAAATCCTTGAATGACAGAGCAGGCTAGAACGGCTGAATGACCTAGTCTTGTTCCTATTTCTAATGTTTTTTTTCTGCATTTGCCATGGATATTAGTTTTACATATGTGGTTTTTCATTGAAATGTCAAAAGGATTATCAAATTTGATTATCAAAACAAGAGAATTGTTTTCAACCATTCATAATCACTTAATGCACCACGACAGCATCACAGCAACTGGAAACAAACTTCAAATTCAAAATGTCTTCCACCTTTCAAGGATCAGCAAAATGACAGTGGCATTTTTGCTAATATTTACAGTATTAAAATAGTAAATAGAAGTAACAAACAGCGACAAACATGCTAACACTCGAGTGGAATGATGGGAATAGTTAAGTGAGAAAGCAAATCATTACTCGTCAAATAAGAATTACTCTTGAACAGCAGAACTGAAAGCAAACTTTGGCATCAGACAAAGTTAATCAGTAGCTCATATTTCTGCCAAATCATCCAATTGACAAGACGGCAGTGGGCCTGCAATTCACCTTATAAACACATGCAGACCAAGTGTGCCTGAACCTTAAGAAAACCACAATAAATATTATTATTATTATCCAATCACATTAAGTGCCCAAGTCGTAATTTCTTTTCAACATTAACAGCTCACATTGAGACACGAGGCTATAGTCATCGACATCTGGCTTTTATACAGCACATTTATGTAGTAATTTCAGAGCACTTTATTATGTTTACAAAAACAAGTTAACACAAGTAGTGTTAGGACAGATTTTAGTCAAAGTAGACTTTACGGATTCTCTTATTCTTAATACAAAGTTAGAGATAGTTACGGAGATAATTTCGGAGCTCAGGGTCTACCTATCTATAGCTATAACTGCCAATGATGGGATAAAGAAAATAAAAAGGTGCATATGGGGCGGCACAGTGGCTAGCACTGCTGCCTCACAGTGCCAGAGACCCAAACCTGGGCAAGTGTCTATGTGGAATTTGCACATTCTCCCCATGTCTGCGTTGTTTTCCGCCGGGTGCTCAGGTTTCGTCCCACAGTCCAAAAACGTGCAAGTTAGGTGGATTGGCCATGCTAAATTGCCATAATTCAGGGATGTGCAGCTTCGGTGCATTAGCCACGGGAAATGCAGGGTTACAGGGATAGGGTAAGGGGTTGGGTCTGGGTGGAATACTCTTCAGAGGGAAGGTGTGGACTTATTGGACCAAATGGCCGGTTTCCACACTGTGGGGATT